TTTAAGCAAGCTTCAATTTGACTCATAAGCGTAGTGAGCTCCTCATAGGTAAGGAGAGCCTCTCCAATCACGCGCTTGAGATGATGTTTGCACGCCTTGACAGTAGACTCCCAGAGTCCGCCGAAGTTCGGTGCGTAAGGTGGCGTGAAGTGCCAGCTGACTCCTTCACTGGCCAGGGAGGAAGCCGCTTGCTGACCTACTGCAGAGGTTTCTTCAAATAAGCGGCTAAGTTCGGCGTCGGCGCCTTGAAAAGTGGTGCCGTTGTCACTGTACATGTGTAAACAAAGTCCTCGGCGAGACACGAAGCGGCGAAATGCTGCTAAAAACGCCGGTGTGGAATAGTCAGAGACTACTTCAATGTGCGTTGCTTTAGTAGCAAGACACACGAAGACCGCGATGTAGCCTTTCATGACCTTTCGACCACGACTGGGGGAAGCCTTAAACCAAAAGGGTCCGGCATAATCAACGCCCGTGTGTGTGAAAGGTCGCGATGGTTGTGTCCGAGGAGCAGGAAGGACGCCCATCATTTGAGAGATGGTTCGCGCCTTAAACCGAGCACATGTGGTGCACGATCGTACTATTCCTCTAACGAGATTCCTCGCACGTAGGATCCAAAATTGACGGTTCAAGGTACTATGTGTAAGCAAGGGGCCTCCATGAAGTATGAAGAGGTGTGTATCTCGAACCAGCAAGCGGACTACATGATGCTTAGCAGGTAGTACGATGGGGTGTTTCTCAGTTTCTGTCAAGGCAGCCTTGTGTAGACGACCACCGACTCTAATCAAACCAAGTATGTCAAGGAAGGGGTTGAGCCTTTTTAAGCAACTCGATGACCTTACCTCTTCGGAATTTGACAGAGATTGAATCTCGTCATGCAAGGTAAGTCTTTGCACTAAACGCCACAAGCAGACCCGGCCAACATGGATCTTTCGGACTAAAAGCCAAGTTAGCCGTCGTTCTAGGGGTTTGAGGGTGTTGTATGACAGGATTCGAATTAACTTTTGAATCGAGGAAAATCGGCTGAGCCACTCGTTCCAGTCGATTTTATCCTGAGCGTTAATTGTTAGAAACGCTGAGGTGCTTCTTTTTTCTAATTCCGTGGAAGGATCGAGTGGCATGGTTGGCCAGATATCTGGCGACTCGGTAATCCAGCAAGGCCCGTGCCACCAAAGCGTTGAAGTTTCTAAGGTATCGATTGAAACTCCTTTCGAAGCACAATCGGCCAGTTTTTCCCTAGAGACTACGTGGTGCCAGATTGCCTGAGGTATCAGCGTATAAATTTCGCTAGTGCGATGAGCAACATATGTTTTCCAACGTGATGGATGACCGCGTAGCCATGCCAAGACAATTTGCGAATCGGACCAGCAATGTACGGTCGAGGAAGCTCTTGGGGTGCTTTTGTCTACAAAATTGATGAGACGTGCGAGAAGTTGAGCCGCACACAGCTCGAGACGCGGTACACTCAAGATTTTGAGGGGAGCTACTCGTGACTTTGCAATTATAAGGCTTGAGTGAGAGGAAGACTCACTGTGCACAACTGCATAAACCGCAGCTGCGTAGGCCTTTTCAGACGCGTCACAAAATCCGTGCAGTTCCCACTGAGACGAAGAGTCAGCTCGGATCCATCGCGAAATGCGAAGTTGGCTGACTCTCGGGAGTTCCGATGGAAATTCTTGCCAGAGCCGTGTAATTGATGGGGGTAGAGCTTGGTCCCAGTCTAACCCGTGGAGCCACAGACTCTGTAGAAGAATTTTTGCCCTGATAATAAATGGAGCTAGAAAACCAAGGGGGTCGTAGAGTCTAGCCATGTTTGGTGACGAGCCCTTTGTTTTCCCTAGCTGTGACCTTGAAGAGCATGGTGTGCGACTCGGGGGCCCAGAGCATGCCTAGAACTGATGCAAGTGCATCCGCATGTGTCGGAAGCTCGACAGATGTGAGAGTCTTGGGGCTCAATCTGCTCAACAGCGTACATGAGTTAGATGCCCATTTGTCTAATTCCATGCCTGCTGATGACAAAATACTCTCGAGCTCTTGAGCCCTTTTGCAAAGCGCGGATTTTGTCTTGGCTCCTACGACGAAATCGTCCGCGTATCGATTCGTTTTGATAATCGAAGATGCGTGAGGAAAACGGACGGACTCTTGCACAGCAAGCTCAAGCATACACGCATTTGCGAGAAATGGGGCTGAAACAGTGCCGTAAGTGACAGTGTTTAGCTGAAAGGCGGTTGGTGGATCGTCTGGTGACTTACGCCACAAGATTCGTTGCCAGTCACGATCGCGACAATCCACTAGAAATTGGCGAAACATCTTGACGATGTCGCATGAAAACGCGAAACAATCGAATCTCCATCTCATCAGGATTGCGCGTATGTCCTCGAGAAGGTTAGGGCCTGGGAGCATGAATTATTCAGCGAGCGACCTCGGCGATCCTTACTTGATGCATTGAAGACTATGCGTATTCTTTTGTAAGAATCGTCCCGAACTACTGGGTGGTGTGGAATGTAGGCTACCTGCTTTGGCTCGGGTTGACGGACGGAGACTGGCGACATGTGGCCAAGACTCTCGTAGTCTTTCATGAACGTATTATATGCCTGTCAAAGTGCAGGGCATGCCGCCAGCCAGCGTTCCATGCTCCGAAGCGAGCCCAGAGCTGCTTCTCGAGTACCTAAAAGGGAGGGCGATTCGGAAAACGGAAGGCGGATGACAAAACGACCCGAGATATCTCGTCGCACGTTCTCCTGGAAATGTCTATAGCAATTTTTATCGTCTGAAGAACCATGATCGACATTAAATGGCTCTTCAACCTCCCAGAATTTTCGTAACGCGACAGACAACTCTTGGTCGACGGTCAGAGTAAATGATTGTGTGGACTTTACCTCGAGGCCGGGGGATGGCTTAGATCCTCCAAGAAGAACCCAACCAAATACCGTACAGATTGCGGAAGGCGTGCCTGGTGGCCCTGTGATGAGGCCAGGGCGCAAGGCAGCGGCGAAGACTTCAGAACCCAGTAGGCAATCAATCTGACTTGGGGTGTCACAGAATGGATCGGCAATGTCCAAGTCCTTGAGGTGGTTCCAACTCCCGAAATTAACGTTGCTAGATGGAAGCTTTGAGGTGAGCTTGCCCATCGTCAAAGCCTTTATCTGAAAATCAAAACCATCATCAGAGGGGGACTTAACTGTAGAGTAACCCAACCCCTGGCTATCGAGGTTGAATTTCCTAGGCTGTTGACTGCTAAGCAGGTCCCTGTAACCTTGAGGCCCAGTGCTCTGGCCACATGATCCGACAAGTAAGACTCCTCTGAACAAGAGTCCAAGAGGGCTCTGGCTTGGTAGACTAAGCCAGAGTCTGAAACCAGCGACACGATAGCTGTGGACAACAGTTTCGTGCTCCTGGTAAATGTTGCGAGCACTGAAGTCTGCTGAGTGGAATCAGATGTCTGATACTTATCTTTCTTTTGTGGAGGTCTTGAACCGATGGTTGGCTGCTCGGCTTGATCCATATGCAGAGCGGTATGATGCTTGCTCTGGCAGGTGCGGCATGTGTTCTTGGAGGGGCAGTCACCCACTTGATGAGAAGGTCCCATGCAGTTGAAACAGAGCTTGCTGCTTCGTACGAAGGCTCGGCGCTCCGGCACCGACTTCCCTAGGAACTGCTTGCAGAAACTCATGTAATGCGTCTCTGAACAATAGAGACAGGTGGGCTTGGGGCCCTTGGAGGTGGAAGGCTGTTCTGATGTTGATGTGGACAGAAGGGCCGATGTAGACTGCTTCTCTTTTGGCTTGCCTTTATCTCTTGCTTTGTTGCCCTTGGCAATCGGAGCAGGACCAGCTTCTCGCGTGCTGGAGCCTAGACGATCTAGGGTGCGGATCCTCGTCTCCAGGAAGGTCCGAAGAACTTGATACGTGGCGAAAGTTATCCTTTTGGCCTCACACTCTTTTGCCCAATCAAGCTGTGTATCCGGTGCCAACTTGCTGGTGATACAATATACCAGTAGAGCATCACAGTTGGACAATGTAGGTGCGAGAGCATTAAAGACGTTCAAGCTCTCGTTCATGGTTGACAACAGCTGATTAAGGTGTGTTACAGATTCTTCGCTTGCCAACATATGGCCTTTATGTATGTGTTACAGCGCAGCAGCTTATCATCATAGCGCTTGACCAGGGTTTGCCAGGCTGTATCGAAGTTGTCGCCTTCTAATTTAATGCCACGTAGAAGGCTCGTCGGCTCACCACTCAGTGAGTTAATCAGATGCTGAAACTTGATCACTGGCATGACGGACGTGTCATTGATTACCAACGCTGTAAACTTATCGGAAAACCCTTGCCACTCTCTCTGCTCTCCGTTGAAAGTTGGCAGTCTGACCTTTTCCAGCTGTGAATGAACGGCTGGTCTATTTTCTGATTGGTTTCCTCTGGATGGTGCAGGATTTTTAAAGCGCACCAAACACTCTTGAAGAAGCCCCAGGCTTTGCATGAAGGCTTCGAGAGTTGTGTCATGCACAGCTTCTGTAATATAAGTTTGATTTTGTATGTGGTCTGCCCATGAGCAGAGCTCCATGTCGTTGTTTTTAAACTTATCCCAATAGCCTTGTAAGAGCTTTATCCTGTTTTTTAAATCAAAAGTCGTGAGCTGCTCTAGCGCTTTGATTTTCCTTGTGTTGACGATAAAGTTTTTGATGTAAATAGCGAGAGACTTTTGTTGAAGGAGAAGCTTCTCGCACTCATCATCGAGTGACTCGACATCGTCATTGTCGCTCGGCATGTTGATGCGCTGAGAAGACTTTGCTATATAGCTGCCCTACGTGAGGGTTCCAGGCAGCTGTATGTATGTAATAAGCATGTGAGCTCGAGCGCTTTATGTCGTGGTACTTGGCACCGTTGCAGCGGCACGAGAATACTCACGACTCGTTGTTTACTTCTAAGCTTAGGGGTTGGAGACGTCCCTACTGCGCGTGTGTTAATGTGCGTGGACTCTACCCGAACGCACCACACGATTAGACTGTACCTCTACGGGTGTTCCGTCGACAGGCACGGGAGCGTATGTGTTATCTAGAGGCACGGCCTCAAGCACCACTACACATGAACGCTGTTCGACGGCCAAGTATGATGTAGCAAAATTAGTAATGTATAGACACTCACGTGTGCGTATTAGCAACAGCACAGCAGCGTTAGAATGCTTGCGTTGATTTATGAGCAGCAGAACCGCACTGTAGCAGCAACAACTCCAAATTGGGTGTGAGCGTGTGTGCACGAATGAGCGACAACACANCCTTTTACTGGAACGAATATCAGTCAACGCAAGAATGTATTTCTATAAACTTTATTCCAAGGTATGTGACAAGGGAAAACTTGAAATTTATTTTACTACATCAATTGATTGTGCAGTTATTACATAGATGTGATTCTTCTACCGATATTTTTTACTACCTGGCTGAGTATTCTCGTCTTATATTGGAAAACTTGGAGAGCAACGAGGTCACATGGTTACAAATGCAATGAGGTATGCACGGTACACGAAATTTAAATACTAATTAACACATATAGTAACTCTGATGGTTGAACTACAATCATTTTGGGACTTATGCCAATAGAGAAATTTTATCGCATACTACGGCAAACATGACTTAGAAACAATTGTAACAGTTACTGTATATGGGTCATTCTACCGAAAACAGCGTATTTCATGTTTCGGTCGAGTACAACGTCGCTTAAGGATATATCGATCTGAAAACTTTTTCATTATTGTGCGCGCCGGTGCACTTTTGATGATGAATGTTCAGTCGTGGTAGCTAGGGCTGAGCACGCTGGGTCCAGGCAGGTGAGATAAGGAAAAGGAAGATGCGAGAGGTCACCTCAATGATCACAAGCTGCTTCTTTGTTTTAATTATGAATGTTTATTCATTAAAAATACTCCCTAACTGCTCTAAAATCAAGAAAAAGGCCACGTTGGCGAGGGGCACGAAACTTTATGTGTGTGGCTGGCTTGCGTGCGATTTGTCCGTACTGTTCGGCTTCCGAACTGAGAAAAAGGAACGAGAAGGGCAGCAGCAGCGGCGTGGCTCTCCTTGCTGAAGAGAGTCGCGCGGCGGCTCTGCCTTCTATTGGCTCCACTGTTCAGCTAATAGGCAGCAGAGCAGCAAGACTACAATCGGCTATAGGCCTCAAACAGAGAACGGCTGCAACAATAAGTAATGAAACGCTTGATAAAGAAAAGATGATTATTAGTTTTTTTTTTTTTTTTCCGGGTTACTGCGACAGCTCTTAGACCAAGTCACCGAGGCCACCTACTCACCACCTATGGGTACAGGTGTATCGCTGCAACCATTTTCAACCACTTTTTACTGATACTATACCTAATCCATGGGCACAGTGCGAGTATCTCCGGTGGAACACCGTGCCAGTTAAGCTGACACTCTCTGCACCAATGGTGCATCGGGTCCACTCACCACTGCGTAGCCTTCCCCCAGAGAGGACTTCATATTTCAGGACGTCCACTCTTCGGATTGGATTTGGAATTACTCTAAAGGAAAATTCCACTGAAAAACCCGCCCCGAAACAGCTGGGATAACATAGGAACTTTTTCCGATGAAAACAGTTTTTGAAAAATCTGCATTCACCAGGAATCGAACCCACGACCCATTGACCAGCGTTGTATCAGTAACAAGCACGCTTACCACCGAGCCAACGCTGCTCCTTTTTTAAATTAATAGTTATTTTAAATTAAAGACAAGCACAAAGTTTCGACAACTGTAATATGTAAATAATGTGTAATATGTAATTTAAAAAAATCTTCTTGTATAATAAAGGAAAACATGAATATAACTAAGGAAATTGTATTAAATACATTAAATAATATTTAGGTACCCAGGTGTTTTGAAGTATCATTCAAATAACAAATTATTTAGGATTTTTGCCAACAGTGAATACTTTTGAATCATAGTAGTATTCTCAACTTTAATGTAAGGATTTTCCTACAAATAATTATTTTAAAAAATCTTGAATGAGAATGTTATCGTATGTAGAAAGAATGTGAATAAAGTACAGAAGTCAATTATGAGAATTGATTTCTAGGATTTAAAAATTGATAGTTCTTAGCCTTATTAAAGTCATTGTATTGTATTTTAATTAGCTTCAATTAGTTCAGGGTGACCACTCTTTATTATGTTTCTACTGTTTATACTTCTAAGATTTCAGAAGGATTAGCTTTTGGATGATTCTTCAAAAGTGGAGATTCTTGGGCAAGAACGTGATTCAGGACCGGATTCTGCTTTTTACCGCCCTACGCGAACATCACAGTGCCTTCCTCTCGGACATTCCGAATAAAATTAAAGTTTTCTACCTCATCAATGGGGTCCATGCAATTTTTTAGCTTTGTAACATTATTTAATAATCAATTAGTTATTTTTTTAGAAAGAGAGAGGTTAACACACATTCTTGACATTTCTTAAAGTAATTTAAACCCAGACTTAGTGAAATTCATTAAAAATTGGATGCTAAAAACTTTACATCAGATGGTAAATAATGATGTATAATCTGTTCATTCATTTTTTCGTTTACAAATCATAATTGATTTC